GATAGATAGATAGATAGATAGATAGATAGATGGATAGATTTAGCAAGGATAAAATCTTCTGTGGTGTGGCAAGTCATCTAGCTGGAAATGCTAGTAAAATAACCTTCCGTTGTACTATATTAAGAAAATGTATCTGATTTTGCTAAGTTGCACAATGCCATGCTCTCTGGGCCATAATCCCCCACTAAAACTGGAGATAGTACCACTGACGCCTCAGTTAGGAGTCAATTTGTCCAATCAAAGAGTAAGTCCCTTCCTGGAGCTTGCTGCTCACACCTCTGGCTGCTAGAAGGGAAGCCATATCAATGTGCAGCATAGTTTATTTCTGTGCTCAAGATTTTATCTGCAGAACAATAGCTGGCATTGTTTCACAAGGTCACTGTAGTCAGATTCCAGACTTAAAAGTAAAATCAATACCTTTGCCTTGCTTAATTTCCCAAAAAGTATTTCTTTATTAGACCTACATGGTCCTACTTAGTAAATCTTTTTATGCAGTCCCATTATTAACCTTTTTTGAATGAATATTCCACAAAAACAACATAAGATTTATGGTGGTTAATACACGCATGCAAGACGGAAGTTCTGCTATACAATATCCACTTAAGAAATGGAAACTATTTTGAGAGGCAGTGTAACCTACCTAACTGAACAACAGACAAAAGTATATCTGCCTAAACATCATAAATTTAAGCGTTATCAATAATTTACATCAAACCATGTAACTACTATTTATGTGTTGTATTTCCTGCTTAATTAATACGAAGGTGTTCTTTGTTTGGTCCTGCATAAAACATGAGAATAATACTACATGTGGGAAAAGTCCCTCATAGGGAATGAATTAAGTAAAAATAACATTTTGAAAACATTATTTTCTTGTCTGGCTAAGAGCTCACTGGTATCTTTAACAAGTCTAGTACTGATGTGCACCTTGTCTTTGATCTCAGGTGAGCTGATATTTACTTTTAAACAAGATAAATCCTATGGAGGTTAATATAGTAGCTTATAAACTTTTAAAATGCTTTTTAAATTCCTCTTATTAAAGTAATGAATGCATTAATCAGAACTGGGGAGTTTCCTTGTTTTGTAGAAATGTTTTATGCTGAATTAAGCTGAATTTATTGAGAAAACAGTTAAGTTTTTAACAAATAAGCAGTTTTTTTTTTAAATAAATTAAAATAGATTCAGCGTAAAACAACTACTCAGTACCATGAATGATCTGTGTTGTTTTTTCCAATATCCTAACCTTGTTTCTTTGCATGGCAAAACAAACATTGTAAGAAATATATAGTGGTGACACCACTTGTGGATTGGCACAGGAGATTCTCCTCCAATGTGGGGCTTGAACACACGACCCTGTGATCAGGAGTCTCATGCTCTACCGACTGAGCATTTATTCTAAATATGTGCCACAAAATATCTTATGCAGTTATAATATTAGTGGTGTAAGTGATAAAACTACTGTTCTCCCATTCAAACATTAAAGGTCATTGGCCTGTTCAAAAGTAATAATATTTAAGAATTGTTATAAATAAATAAATAAATAAATAAATAAATAAATAAATAAATAAATAAATAAATAAATAAATAAGTATATCACATAATTTGCTTTTCTCTTCCTCTCTGCTTTTGAAAATTTTTTGAAAAATAAAAAGATAAGAAAAAATCTATACATCAAAACTGACAGGAGTGTCAAGTGTGTGTGTGAGTTTATATCGCATAAAAATAATATATATAAAATATGGTATATACAAATATGTCATTCTCATTTACTATCAGAATCAAACAAATCCAATATAAGCAGGGCAGTGTATATATATATATATATATA